AACAGCTTTCTAGGCAGCAGATCCTACTGCCACCCCGTCTCTTGGAATATATATTACTTCTCAACAGGCTCCCTGCAGGAGTAGAGAAGGAGCCAATCTGTGAGGGAGCAAACACAAGATCTCCAATTATAGCATAGAGAAGACAGAAAATTGCTACCCGAAGTATAAATTACTTCTTTTGCTTGAAAAAAAAAAGAATCACTCTGGGTTTCAAAGACACCCTCTTAATAGATGACTTCACAGTAGTTAATATCCATGTTCTACATATCAGGACTTTTGCTTCTCCACACTCTCTAAGAACCCTTGCCATCAATATGACTGTATCCTGGATTTGAAGAGTAAACTACTACCAGATGGGAGGGCAACAGGCAGCTATTCTATGGGCCAAAGGAAGGCTTGGTTGGCTGCTCCTCAAGATGTCAATAAGCACTTCTTTTGCTGCTGACCCTCAGAGGACACTATGTGAAGATCAAATAAAGAAATATCCCTTTATATTGACAGAGGCAAAGGAGAGGAGAAGCAGTTTGTAGAAAACAGAGGCCACAGTGATTCAATGTCAAAGCAAGTAAGAACTACCAAGTTAAAGGGACAAGACCAAAGTGACCCTCTGAGGACTGTGGGTGAATTCTCTTGGCTTTCACTTGGGGTCACAGAGAGAAGTGTGCTGGCCTCTTGGAGACTGTCTGAATGGTGGGTTAGGGCCCAAGCCCTGAAACCAGACAAACCAGATGACATTAAAGTCCTAGCTCTGCCACTTATGAGCTATGTGATCCAAGGCATTAACATTTCTGAGCATTAATTTCCTTGTTTTACAAGTAGGATAATCACTACATAAAAGCTTTACGTGAGGATTAAATGAGAATACATATAAAGCAAACTGTTCAAAGTAAACTTTCAATAGCTATGATCATTACTGTTGTTAATTAGCAGGACACCTACACAATAAAATTCAGGGCAAGAAAAAGATATGACCAAAAGTACAAATATTTGGCCACCTCATGTCAAACGGCTTGAAAAATCAAAACTGAAGAAGAAAGAAGGCAGAGAGACTCCAGCTAGTAAGAAGGAAACAAAAACACAGATGTAATACAGACCAATACATTTCAATAGGGCAGAATTTTTCTTTGTTCCTGCCACCATGGACAGTGGTTGGAATCCAATTCTCCCTGAACTTCTGTGCAAACTGTGGGAAGTGACTGTGTGGAAGGAATGCTAGCAAGGGAGACACAGGTATAATAATCCAAGCAGACCTGGGACTCAGGCTCTCTAGATTAATTTCTCTTCCATAGCCTGTGCAAGACGACCCATATTTCCTTTCTGTCTCCCATACACATCAAACTCTCATTTAATACTGTCAGCAATAAACAAGCCTCAGGAAGAAAACTCTGTTTGGCTTACTGAGATGGTAAAGTGTCTATCGTAAATAAGAGAACTTCCTGATCAAAGGCAACCTGCCCTGAAGTGTTAATTGAAATAAACGAAGTCAAATGGTAGTTCAACACAAGCAAACTGAGTGGAACCAACAAGTATGAATTTAAAGGTTAAAAAGAAAATTTGACTCCTCTTGCTGCCAAATTGCAGCATATTTTTCAAGTGTTCGTTATACCAAAAAGGGTTCTGTCAAGTCCCAGTTTAATAGAATCCCTGCTGACCCCATGGCAGCCTGGTTTGGGGGAAACAGCTTGATATCGTGGTTGCGAGTAAAGAAATTCTATGCTTTAACCACTATCTTCTCAAAATGACAAGAAGCTATCAGCAATTAAATTATAAAGCCCATCTCTCACACTGAATAGTACCTTTGAAGGGAGTTAGTCTTCATAAGGTCCCTGTATTCTTCTAATCAACGAGACTGGCATGTGACCATACAGGCGAAATGAGAGTGTTCATCCTAATCAGGCTCTCCCAAGACAGAAATGCCACTTCTACCCTGTGGAGTCTGCACATTACATCTCTAAGGTGTCTTCTTTATATTGGTCTTGTTCGAACTCTTTTTCTGGTGAAAAATAAAAAGGTCTAGGGCTCTGCTTAAGGTGGATTTTAAGGAGCTAGAGCTAGTCTTGAGAGAAGAGGTGGAGTGCCAATGAAATAATTTAAAGAGTGTGTCTAAACCAAAGGTCTATGCAAAATGGTGAAAACTTAGTCAATAACTAGAGAAGTTGTTGATTTAGGCTTTTATCATCGCTAGCCTAGTCTAACTAGTCTCCCAAGCTCTACTGTTTAAAATTCCTGAATGTCTTCCCACTGCCTGCAGGACGGGGTTCAAATACCTTAAGGAGGCCTATAAGGTCCTAAATGGTCTAGACTCCTTCCTTTCTTTCATCCACTGTTCTCTTGTCTAGAGCTTTTCCATAAGTTGATCCCTAGAACAACCCATACCCCTGCTCCTCCTGTGTCTGCCTCCTCATTTTTCAGAACTCTGTTTATATATAACCTTTTCCAGTATGCCTCCCCTTATCCTCCAAGACTGACTTAGAAACCCTTCTTAAAGTAGCCAAAACTTCCCTTATCATAGCACATTCCCCACCGTATAAGTGCCTGGTCATATGCTCATCTCTCCCACTAGACTTAGGATCCATAGGGTCAGGGACCATGTCTGTTTTAGTTACCATTATACATACAGTGTATAGCACAGTGCCTCTCATATAGTAGGGCCATAAGAAAGGGAAGGAGGAAGAGAGAAAAAAAAAGGAAGGGAGGGAGGGCTTGTTTCTGAGAATGGCTGGAAGATGAAGTCTGAAGGGATTCCCTGAGACTCTGTAGGCTTAAAGCAGGGTACCTGCGGCTTTACCACAGTAGACAAGGAGCTAGTCTAGGCTGAGAACCACAGTTCTCAAAGGGAGGGAAGCACCACGAGATGCAGATGTGAGGATAACATTTGGAATTATGAAAGAGGCTCCAGATGTGGGACAGGATAAAGAAAGAGAAAGAGAGAGAAAGAAAGAGAGAAAGAAAGAGAGAAAGAAGGGAGGGAC